GTCAATCCTATAAAAGTTAGGGCTGAAGTCAGAAACTCGTCTTCAAGTCAGGTAACCAATCCTATAAAAGTTAGGGTTATCTGAATCTTTTTGATTCTCAAAGTGGAGATCCCACTCTTAGTTTCACCTCGCAGATTCTCAAAGTGGAGATCCCAATTTGAGTTTCTTTTATAATCGGAGATAGAATATAAAATTTTTCCTCCCCGGTATCGGGTTCACTTCTGCCCTAAGAGAAGGCCCGGAGATAAAATATAAAATTCTTCCTCTCTGGTGTTGGGTTCGTCTTTACCCCAAGAGAAGACACCACATTCTAACACCGAAAGTCAGCGCCTAACACGCGTTGTCGGTTAGTCTTTGACCGTAAAAAGGATAAAAGCCCATATATTCGATATTGTGGTAGGTTGTTATTAATAACACCATAATCCGTGCCTCACACGCGTGGGGAATTTTATCCCAAATCCTAAGTAGGGATAAGTCAAGACTAACGCGCGTTGCCGGTTTAGTCTTTCACCGATTAAAGAAGACACCAGAATCCGAGTCTGGGGACTTTTATCCCGAAGCCTAAGTAGGGATAAGTCAGCAACTAACACGTGTTGCTGGTTAGTTTTTTGCTGTAAAAAAGGACAAAATCCCACATATTCAATATTATGGCAGGTTGTTATTAATAACACCATAATACGTGCCTCACACACGCGGGAAATTTTATCCTGAATCCTATATAGGGATAAGTCAACGCCTAACACGCGTTGCCGGTTTAGTCTTTTATTGATTGAAGAAGATACCAGAATCCGAGTCTGGGGACTCTTATCCCGAAGTCTAAGTAGGGATAAGTCAGCACCTAACACGCGTTGTCGGTTAGTCTTTTGCTGTAAAAAATGACAAAAGCCCACATATTCAATATTGTTGCAGGTTGTTATTCATAACGCCAAAATCTGCACCTTACACGTGCAGGGAACTTTATCTCGACTCCTAAATAGAGATAAGCCTACGCCTAACACGTGTTACCGGTTTAGTCTTTTACCGATTGAAAAAAGATACTAGAATCCGAGTCTGGGGACTTTTATCCTGAATCCTAAGTAAGGATGAATCAGTGCCTAACACGCGTTGCCGGGTAGTCTATTCCCGTGAGAAAGACGAAGTCTACGTATTTAATATCGTAGCACTAAGGGAGTTAACTCTCTTTGCACAACGTTACATGTGGAACAGACTTAAACAATCCGTATGCTAGCCCGACTCAAACGGTAGTCGGTAAAGGCTCATCAAACCCGTTGATGGCTGGGGGTTTGCCAAAAATCCTATAAGTGTGAGAGTCATTGACGCACCATCTTCATTAGTTGGTCTCGTGGCTTAATGATCCAACAACTTCAGAATAAGATCCATATATGCAGATGAATCAGCTTTAATAGTTGGTCCTGCAACCCCGACATTTAGGACCGCCATGCTCCAATGCCTTAAGAGTTTAAACTATGTAAACTCCAGTAAACGTACGAGTATAAACTATGTTAATACCGGTCAACGCGTTATAGCAAAGGTTAACGCCGGTTAACGCGTTATAGTAAAAGTTGAGGCCGGTCAACGCATAGCCGATTTCACCAAAATAAGGCTAAGAAAAAAATTCCGGATTAAATGATGATTCTAAGGAGTTCAATTGCGATTCAGATATGAATTCCCGATGAAGATAATCAGTTCAAAGTCAACTCAATGACACGAGCCAAAACCAACTCACCAATTTTGATTCAAGATTTCGATAACTGTCAGACGATAAACACAGCGCCGGAAGAACTTCATCTATTCACAAAACACCGAATAGGCTGAAGACTGAAGAAGTTATGAATTAAAGCCAGCTACAGGTCCTTTGACACCGACTGAAGGTGGGGCCTATCACATCCAAAGTATTTCAGACTCCTCTATAAAGGAATGAACCTGAAACACTTTGGAGGGGGTATCTGTAGGCGTCTAAAAATACCTATAAGTTCCCGTATGCAGCTCGAGATAGAGAGAAGATGATTAACGTCATTGTCCGAATCAAGGAAGATTATCCGATGCCGATAAGCGCATGAAGAAAATCGGCGAACCATTGATGACTTAGCAATAAGCTACCGGAATAGCCATTGGCCACTAAATCGGCAAAACGACTGACCTGTGCACTCACTAGCCACCTCCAATTGGGCTGCGTACTCATCAGTCAGCTCCAAGTGCTCGCCATACTTGTCGGTCAACTCCAAGTGTCCGTCGTACTTGTCGATCAACTCCAAATGCCCGCCGCACATGAAGCAAGTTAACGATGCATACAAGTCAACAAGATAATCAAATATGCAAAATGACAGAAAATATAAGTCCTGAAGAATCAAAAAACACCAAGAGTTCAGCCAAGGCCAGATCTCCCGCACTAACGTAGGACAGCGACAGCTGACCCGCGTCAGCGCGGATCAGCATTAGCCGACCCATGCCAGCACGGGTCAGCCAACGCTGACCCATGCCAACGCAGGTTAGCATTGGCCGACCCGTGCCGGCGCGGGTCAGCCGGCACAGACCCACGCTGACCCGCGCCCCCTACGGGTCAGCTGCGCGTGTCACGCAGTCCCGAGCTCCAAACGCATTTTGGATGGGTCTTTTGCTATTTTCTCAGGATTTGTTCATTCCTGAGTGTCTCAACTGATTGGATATCATCCACAAATATGGTTAGGCCGTTATTAACTAAAGATAGGAACAAATCATTCATTTTTATCCAAATACCCCCATTTGGTGCCCTATAAATACAAGCCCAAGGCCTCCATTCTAAGGTGGCAAAATTTTATCAAGAGGGCGAGGTATTGCTAGATTGAGGAGTCAAAGGAGCACGAATTTACAGCGAAGGCAAGTTAGATCCCAACGAACTTTAGCATAAAGAGGAATACTTTCGAAGGATCTGAACCCGTATTTTCCCCCGTCCATTCCTTGAGATTAGGCTTGGTCTCAAGAATAGCTACTGATTTCGTTTGGTCGATTTCAGTATTTTAAGCGAATACTTCCTTGGTGAAGTAGGAGCTCTGTCAATTTTTCGGCAACCGGATCTGATCCGCGGTCGTCCACGGATATCAACATCCCCGGCATAGGCGAAGACCCCACGCAAGTAAGAGTTTATAAACAGTTCTTGTGTTTATTTTCTAAAAAGTTATAATCTTTATTTTTGTTATTTGAATTCATTGTAAACGATCAAAGTTGTAATGAATTCGATAATGAAGACTACTTTCGACGAAAACAGTGAGGTTCTTCTGATGTTCGTTCAAAATTTAAGGTTTATCAAATAATGAACGAGGTGGAGAATTGTGAGTGGGAACGTGGTGTGGGGGGACACGAGACAGTGTCCCCCATGCTCCCAAGTTGCCTATGCTCACCCCCCATGCTGCCTATGTTCTCAACCCCCATGCCCCCCATGCTCTCTTGATTTACCCCATACTCTCTCTTGCTTATAAATAGAGAGGAAGAGAGAAGATAAGTTGTGTGGGGAAGAAAAGAAAAAGAGTGGAAATTCTTGAGAGATTTTGAAGAGAGAAAAATCAGAGAGAGCTTGTGAGTTGTACAAGTTTGGTATTCTCCTCATAGTGAAAACCCTCTCTCGTGGACGTAGGCAAGTTTGTCGAACCACGTAAATCTCGTGTCTTAAATGTGAGTTGGTTTTGCTTGTAGGTTCCCTCAACAAGTCAGTCCTAGAACTGATGAGAGGTTGAGTTGGAACAAGAGTTGGCTATTGCTTGTAGGTTCCCTCGACATTCAGTCTTAGAACTGCTGAGAGGAAGAGTGTATATCTCATTTTGTTGAGATATTTCACTTCTGCTCTTGTTTCCTTTGTGAAACAGGAATATAGATGTTGACTTGAGCTTTTGTGAAAACAAAAGTCAGGGCTTTCTCTCGGATGATATCGCTTCCGCGACGTGAGGGTGTGAGTCTACGCCCAACACTTATGCAATGGACCAACTTAAACCTCAGATTCCAAATTGCAGTCTCATAAATGTAGCCAAATAATAGTGGACAAAACTAAATGAAGATTTTGAGCCGACGGCAGAATAGATAAACTCTTGAGTTATCAAATAGAACAACAGATATCATTAAAAAAAGGAATAGTAGATAGATGCAAAATAATGAGTATTTCATTTGTTTTTCTAAATGAAGATCACAACAAATCAAGAAGAAGAAACAGAAACAATTATTCTGAGAGCAATAATGAGGTACGATACAACCCTGATTCATCTTACTTGTTGCGTCTATTTCTTCTCCTTGTACCTTCATCCTGTGAAGAGTCACTTTGAACTTGATTTTGATCCAATCGAAACAATTTTGTTATAAAGGCAAAATTTTGTTATGAAGGCACTACAAAGAAGGGATTTAGCAGTTGATGTATCAATATTGGATGATGTTACAGCTCATACAAGCCTTATTTCTCAGATTGTCTGTTAAACCCCGTTCATCTTAGGTCTAGCCTATAGTCATTTCCCCCATTCTATTTTACTAGTTTTCATTCTATTTTCAGCCAATGCATATATTTTATGGAAATCAAGTGTAAATAATCTGATTATTATTTCATGTATGTTCATGAGAAGTGTTCACATATGTAAAATATGCATATCTATGGCTCCTGAAATATTTGATTGGGTATTAATTGTACCTCTTGAGAAGTACTTGCAAGATTATTTTAATTATTTCCTTCCATATTTTTTATTGAAAATTTTACTTATGCAATGGAGCAACTTAAACCTCAGATTCCAAATCCCACTCACACAAATGTAGCCAAATAATACTGGACAAAACTTAATAAAGACTTTGAGCAGACGGCAGAATAGATAAACTTGAGTTATCAAATAACGTAACAGATAAAAATGCAACACAGTGAATTACATTTGTTTATCTATATGAAGTTCACAACAAATCCAAGACAAAGAAACATAAACAACATTAAACCCGTATTATTCTCTCTCTATATAACTCTAGTCCTGTAAACAGAAGGTATTTTGAGAGCAACAATGAGGCATCATATGACCCTGATTCACCTTACTTCCTGCCTCTATTTCTTCTCCTTCTACCTTTGTACTGTGAATGGCTATGGCGATCTTCATTTTGATCCAATCGACAAGTTTGTTATAAAGGCTATACAAAGAAGGGATTTAGAAGTGGATGTATCAAGATTGGATAATGTTGCAGCTCATACATCGGTGTACATCAGTGCACAGGATGGGCTAATGGAAGCTGATAAGATAGATAAATTGCCTGGGCAACCTGAAGGTGTTGATTTTGATCAGTACGCTGGCTATGTCACTGTTGATCCTATTGCTGGCCATGCACTATTCTACTATTTTGTTGAGGCTACTCAGGATCCAGCATCAAAGCCGCTACTGCTGTGGCTTACCGGAGGTAGTAAAATATGAGCTAAATCTAAGTTCTATCTAGCTCACTTAAGTTCATGAAATGTTTAATTTTAATACATTTTTAGGTGAAATTATCACATCAAATGAAAGTACAACGATATTTGTAAACCACATGCTGCTTGCATCACCCTGCTTGCTCTGCCACTAAAAATAACAGTTTCCAGGGGACAGTCCAAATTGTATAACAAGATAATTGATGATAGTATTAATAGTAACTACACAAAAATTATTGTCGACAACATTAACAAATTTGATTTGCTTTTATCCCTTTATCAATAAATTCAATATCGCAGGTACATGCTTATGACCATTTGCAGTTGGATTCATTACCATGATTTCTAGTGTTGTTATTTGTTCTATGGCATTATCTTGGTTTAGATTTCTCTTCATATGGATGATTTTTTTATGAGCAGGACCCGGATGTTCTTCCTTTGGTCATGGGGCAATGACGGGACTGGGACCTTTCAGAGTCAACAGCGATGGAAAGACTCTTATTCGAAATGAATATGCATGGAATAAAGGTAACAGATAATCATAACATATAGTTTATGTAGTACTATATAACCCTGATTCAGAGAAAAAAGTATTTAGTAATAATATACACCGTAGATTCTAAAAAACCAATAGCAAGTAATGTGCACAAAATTGAGGATTCAGGATACACATTAATTGTAGCAACTATCATCGACTCATTGTATCTATGCACAGATACACACAACACGAGAACTGTTTGACTTAAATCAACAGCATGTTGATTATTTTCTAGAAACATAAGATTGAAATTTCACGATATCTAAATAACACAAAAAATTCAAAATTCAAACTTGAAACACACAGCCTGATTTCATAAATATGATGGCAGCCTTTGCATCTAAATTTAATTGCATGGAACCATATGGAAATATGGATTGCCACAAATTTATTTGCATGTGATTCAATGCAGAGTTATATCAGTTAAAAGCATAGTGTAAGTGTGCATATATTATGCTACAAACTGAAACATATAAATTAACTTCATTAGTTTGTATAATTATCTGTATCATTTTTTTCTGATTTTTTTTTTCTTGCAGTTGCAAGTATCATATTCCTTGAGTCTCCTGTTGGTGTGGGATTTTCATACTCAAATACAACATCAGATTATGATCAAATTGGAGACACGAAAACTGCTCAAGGATCCTACACCTTTATTGTCAATTGGCTAGAAAGATTTCCACAATACAAGACTCAAGGTTTCTATATAGCTGGCGATGGTTATGCAGGACACTATGTGCCTCAGCTTGCTTATACAATCCTTGTAAACAACAAGCTCAACAATCAAACTATCATCAATCTCCAAGGAATTGCAGTAAGTTATATTCAACAAACTAAGGATGATTTGAAGTGGAATTTTAATTCAGAGACATGCATATAATGGTAATTTAAAAAAATGATTAATTTGACAAAACTGCCTGAACTTTGGAGGGTTTTGCATACAATCCCTCTGAACTTTTGATCTCACAACAAATCTGGATCTTTGTGGCATCTCACAATACCCCTCTGAACTTGAAAAAGTTATCTCTGGCTCTCCTACCTTTTATTATTGACAAATGATTAAATTATCTTTGAGAGAAAAAAACCCCAATTTAAGTCATTGGACTTTTGTAGGCAACATACCCCCTCACCCCAATTGAGGGGTTTTCTCTCAATAACATCTTAAGTTTTTTTTATAAATTACAAGTAGGGGGATCTCGTAAGAGAAGTTTAAAATTCAGGCGGTTTGTGAGGCACCCCAAAATTCACTGAGGATTTTGCTAAAAAGTAAAAGGGATATGTGCAAAATTCCCCAAAGTTCAGTTGTTTTGTGAAGTTAACCCTTAAAAAGAACATCCATACATATTTGTCTCAGTTGATAATCTAAAGGAGAGGACTCTGATAATCCTAGATTGGCAATGGCTGGATGGATGATGAGGCTACTCTGAGAGGGATGTACGACTATTGGTGGACGCACAATCTCATTCCAAATGAAATACACGACGGCATTACTTCCCGTTGTAACTTCTCTTCTACTGCACATAAATCAGCATCGTGTCAAAAGTATCTTGATAAAGCACAGTCGTCAAGGGGGGACATATACATTTACGACATCTACTCAACATCATGTAATTCTAGTTCTCATCATGTCCTCTCCGTAAGTACTCTATGTTTGTTTATTCTTGAAAGTTCTACGCTTATGTGTTAAAGTTCCCAATTCCAAATTGTGACATCTTATTACGAATTTAGGATATCCTTGAATTTCCAATAACATTGCCATATTGCTATAATTGCAGACTGGGTTTTTTCTCTGAAATATCATTTTAATACAGACATATTTAAAATTACTAGTTTTATACATGTGCAATGCACGTGGTTAAACATCATGATTAAGCATTTTTGGCTTATTTCCTGACTAAAATTTGTTCCTTTCCACTTTAACAGTTTTTGCTCGCTTTTGTCCCTAAACTTTTTTTAAACATTGTGCTTATTTATTTTCTTTGATGTTTGTTTGAATGGGCTACACTCAATTTAAATTTTCATCTTAATAATTAAAGTGTGGCAGAAAATAAATATAATTTGTAGCCAAATTGATTTTTTATATTATTTGGACTGACATGAAACTAAGCCTTACTCGAGAAAGTACAGTGTTACAAAAGCGAAAAACGTTAAAATAATGTTATACAAGGAAGGTGAATATTTAAAACCAATAAGACAAGATAATTGATTAAAAGTATACTAAAACGATACAAAAGATAATATGAAATTTTGTTCCTAATCATTACTAGACTTCATAAAAAAGTATAAACTAAAGATTGATGCTACCACTAATATACTTTTCTATGATAGAGCATCGGCATGAGCATATAAAAAGTACTAAAAGTGTTCATGAAAATCAATTCTAAAGATTCCTAATTTCACTCTAATTGAACTATTTTATAAAATATTTAAAAAAATATTGTTATTTTTTCTCTCTGTTTTATTAATTTATTCAGCTGAGATCACTCTTTCTTCATCTTTATTTTTTTCTTAAGTAATTTTAGAGAAGAATTTTCATCATCTACATCGATTGTGACATCAAGCTGGAGTTGAATTTTTTTGTGATGTTATCTTTTCTGAGGTTGTTAATCTTTCATCTTCTCATTTAACTTCACAAAAAAGTTAAATGTATTTCCAATATTCAACACAAATTTCTTGAAATACAAACTTTGATTTTTCTCTACAATGTTAATTTCACATATATGAAATTCTTTGTGTTCTTAATTTATTACTTAAATAAGATTAGGAGTTATTTCTTTCATACAATGAATTCTTCTGATGTGCATCCAATAAGAGTTCTGTTATGTCAATAATATTATATTTTCTCTATCCCTATCATTTTCTATAAGGATTTGAACTAAATACCTGTATTTTTCATCGTCAATTAGCCTTAGATTATAATATTAATATTTAATTTCTTTAGCATTTGAAGAACAAAGTACGAAATTTCTTAAAATTTGTGGTCGTTTTTTATAATTATCAAAACTTTTGGTTATTTTTTGAAAAATTTAGAATTTAGCGGTCTAACAATAGTTTCCATATTTGATGTGTGCTGATTACAAATTTTAAAATTTTAGAGTTTCTTATGATTTTTAACTTTTAAAGGAGTATCATTTTATAATTTTTATAACTTTGAGGTTAATTTTAGAGTTTCTTATGATTTTAATTGCTTGATGGTAACCCTTTGAATTCATCTATATCATTTATAAGTTTTATAATTTTAATATTTTAGGATACATTTTTGTAATTTAAACTTTGAGGACGTTTCTATAATTTTTGAGACATTAATAGTGTTAATTGTAAATTTTAAATTCTTTAGAGGCTGCTGTTAATTTCTTAATTTCATGTTTTTTCTAAAGTTTTGACTCGTTAGAAATTTTCAGTTGTATCATGGTAATCCCTTGAATTCATCTATGTTATTTGTAAGTTTTGAAATTTTAGAATTTTCTAGGTGCTTGTTTGTAATATAAACTTTTGAGGGTATTTCTATAATTATTGAGACATTGAGGGTGTTAATTACAAATTTAAATTCTTCGTAGGCTGTTGTTAGTTTCTTAATTTCATGTTTTTTGTTTTAACTTTTGAAATGTTAGGATGTTTTTTATAATTTTGAATTTTGAGGATATTTTGTGTAATTTTAAAACTTTTTTGGGTTTTTTAAAATACTTTATGTATTATAGTACGTTAGCTACGTATAATTTCTTTACTTTAATAAACTAGTACTGTAAAGCTGGTTTATTTATTTTATTAATATTAGTTATTTTTTTAAATTGTTGATCTATAGATAGTGCATGCGGAATTAGGATATAATATAATTATGATTAAGATAGATTAAGATTTAAATGAAATATTCAAAATAGTGAAGGATAATATTGTCAGAAAGCTTTTCCCAAACTTGTGGTTTTAAAGGGAAACTGATTAGATAGCATAATGTTGCCAACTTTATTCTTGAGACAGAGTGGAGGATTTGATACTTGTTCATATGCCTACACACGATCCTACCTTAACCTTCCGCAAGTGCAAGAAGCACTACATGCCAACATAACTGCTCTTCCATATATTTGGGAAGCTTGCACGTAAGTGACCATTCAATGACACCTCATTCAGATTTTCTTTTTAGGTCTAAGTGTTTTTCAACTAAACACATTCACTGATATGTGAGGTATATCTTATGCATTGCAATTTTAACAGTTCTGTCATAGAGAGTTGGAAGGATTGGCATCCAACCATCCTGCCTACAATCAAGCTACTGACAGAGCGTAACTTAAGATTGTGGATATATAGGTAACTTTATCTCTCACTTATCACTTCTTCGAGTAATAAAGTCGCATAATGAAGAAGGCCATGGATTCCTATAAAAGGTTATTAAGTACCTAGATATTTGGTTCTACACATTAAACATGCATGATGTGCCTTTGAAACCAAGACTGTTTATTTACTACATAGTCCATAAAGATAAGCAAGAAAGAAAAAAAGAAAAAAAAATTATTTTCAAGATATATATGGATCAATTATTTAACAGCATGCATATGTTTTTATAGGATAATGACTAAATGTCTATTATTTCCTATGCAGTGGGGATACTGATGCCAGAGTCTCCATAACATCTACTAATTACTTCATAGACAAACTTAACATATCGGTGAATACCTCATGGTACCCATGGTATGCAAAAGGGGAGGTAAGGGTTATCTTTCTCATCAAATTTACTTTTATTGACTACAAAATATTCACTGATACCAGCTCATAACTGCACACCTATTTTATTTAGTAATGAGCATCTTAAAAACATTAACTTCTGATTATCAGCTGATGAATTCACCTAAAGCATGCTTGACGATTGTATTTGAAATTAATATTGACATTGCTTTTAATTTTATGTTTTTGTTTTGCATGCGAAGATCGCTGGGTATGCAATTGGATATCAAAACCTTACCTTTGCCAGTGTTCGCGGTGGTGGACATTTCGTTCCAAGTTTTCAGCCAGATCGTGCACTCACCCTCTTCTCATCTTTCTTAGAAGGAAAGCTTCCTCCGAATTCTCCTTCAGACTTTGGAAATTAATTTAGTCACTTAGTTCACTGAGCTAATGGTGAGGATATATCAGTTCGGTGATTGTATTAAGTCTAAATAGATAAACGTATGCTCCCAAGAGTAACTATTTTATATTCATGTCTGAAGCAACACGGCCTGAGGATTGTTACTGGTGTCTAAATAATACGTATTACTGCAGTTTGAGCGTATCATTGCTATTCTATAAAATTATAACCCTTAATGCTCACCACAATTTAGAGTTTTGATGCAGTGGCAAGGTCCTTTGACATGGTAGCACAGCAACCCGAGCTCAGTTTTTGGCTCACTAACAAGAAGCTTAACCTCAATTTCAGAGATTTGATGTACAGCAGCAAGGTCCTTTGACAATATTCCGAGATAAACGAACTATCAAACCAGATTACATTTTAAATTTAGTTTAAAATTGAAAATAATTTAATGGAAAACGAAAGAATAACCATCAACTTATTCATGAAGTTAAAATCTTAGTCCTATAGAGTCTGGAAAAACTAGCCCTCCATTAATAATTTCATCTCTATGCAGCCAATTGTCAGACCATGCCCCTATAAGTTTTGAATGTGAGGATAATCAACAAAGCACTAAACTGTTCAGATTTGAAAAAATTTGGCTACAGTCTGAGGAGTTTAAAAAAGGAATCCCTTTATGGTGGAAATGTGCTCCTTCAAGTGGCTCTGCTGCAAAAAATTTTGTTGGCAAATTAAAATTTCTAAGGAAATGTATAAAACAGTGGACTCATACTAATTTTCATAGTGTTAAACAAAAAAAAAAGATTTATTTGATAAGCTTCTAGAATGGGAGGTTTTAGAAGAGTCTAGAGATTTAACAGATGATGAGCTAATTAACAAAAATGATATCACATTTCAGTTGAATGAAATTTTGCTTCAAGAAGAACAAATGTGGAAACAAAGAGCAAAGACTCATTGGCTCAAAGAGGGGGATCAGAATACAGCTTATTTTCATAAGATTGCTAATGGTAGGAAGAGATGTAACTTGATATCTTCAATTACAGTTAATGATGTGGTTATTAGTTCTGAAGATGGTATAGCTCAGGCTTTTTCCAATCATTATAATCAAGTGTTTGGGCAAACTGTCAATCACAGATGTAATTTAGATTGGGAGAAGTTATTCCCTTTGGATGATTGGGGTCCAGATGAGATTGAACAACCCTTTTCTATGGAAGAAATCCATAAAGCCATTTTTGATATGAATGGTGATAAATCTCCTGGCCCTGATGGCTTTCCTGCTCTCTTTTATCAAGTTTTTTGGGATACTGTCAAAGGAGATATTATGAGGTTATTTGTAGAATTTCATGAGGACATCTTAGAAATCAACAGATTTAATTATGCTCATATTGTCCTTATTCCAAAAAAGAATGGGGCTAATTCCATCTTAGAAATCAACAGATTTAATTATGCTCATATTGTCCTTATTCCAAAAAAGAATGGGGCTAATTCTATTAATGATTACAGGCCCATCAGTTTGTTAAATGTGATTTATAAAGTGATTACTAAAGTCTTGACTAACAGACTGAATACTAAGTTGGAGATGCTTATAGACCCATTGCAATCTGGTTTTATTAAAGATAGATTTTTGCTAGATGGAGTTGTGGCAGCTCAAGAAATTATCAATGATTGTTTCCAGAATAACAAAAAAGAAGGGATTTTATTAAAATTAGACTTCGAAAAAGCATATGATTTGTTAGACTGGAATTTTATTTTAGAAGTCTTGAAAGCAAAAAATTTTGGTTTTAAGTGGATTAATTGGGTGACTTTATGTTTGAAAGATGGTTTATCTGCCATCAACATAAATGGTAAACCTGGAAATTGGATTATGTCTAAAAGGGGTGTTCGTCAAGGAGATCCTTTGTCACCTCGTTTATTTGTTTTGGCAGCTGATTCTTTTACTAAGATGTTGAAATTAGCTATTGATGCTCAGCTAATTGAAGGATTAGGTCCTGAAAATTTGAGTTCTAAAGTTTTTTGCTTACAGTATGCTGATGATACTTTGATTTTTTGCAAAAATAAAAAAGAACATTTGACTGTGTTGAAGCTGATTTTATATTGCTTTGAACTAGCCTCAGGCTTAAAAATAAGTTTTAACAAAAGTGTTCTCATTGCTCTTGAAGAAAATGAGATTTTACAGCAGAATTTGGCATGTATGATGAATTGTAAATGTGGTATTTTTCCCATTACCTATCTTGGAATTCCTTTAAGACCAGGAAAATTAAAAAGAGATGATTGGTTTCCTTTGATTGAGAAAATTGAGAAAAGATTAGCTATTTGGAAAGGTAGATCTTTATCAAGAGGAGGAAGATTGGTTTTGATTACCTCAGTTCTCTTTTCTATGCCAATTTTCTGGCTGTCTTTTTTCTTATTCCCAGATTGGGTTATTGAAAAAATTAATTTTATAAGGAGAAGATTTTTATGGACTGGATCTTTGGAGCATAAAGGGTGCACTAATCTGGTTAAATGGGAAGAGATTTGTATACCAAAACATTGTGGTGGTTTGGGGATTAAAAAATTAAAAGTGATGAATAAAGCTCTTTTAGGTAAATGGCTTTGGAAATGGTTTAATGGCAATCATGAGCTTTGGAAACAAATCAGTCACCATAAATTTTTTGAAAGAAAATCATGGACTGAATATCTTCATTCGGGTAAAATACATTTATCTTGGTATTGGAAAGGCTTCTGGACTAATATTGACAGCTTTCTTTGCAGTACTCAAGTGGATGTGGGAAATGGAAAATTTACCCTTTTTTTGCTTGATAAATGGTTAGGTTCATCTACTCTTGCTTCCCTTTTTCCATCTTTGTTTAAACTTTCTTCATCTCCTTATGCTACTGTTTGTAGCTTGAGAATCAAAGAAGATAATATATGGAGATGAGTTCTTCAATTCAAAAGACAGTTGACTGGGGATCTTGTTCTTCAGTTTTTTAAACTGTTGGATATTCTTAATTTGAAAAGTTTATCAGATGGGGAAGATAAGAGAAAATGGTTATGGGAGAAAAAGAAAAACATTTTCAGTAAGATCCTTTTATCATTTTCTTATTGATGGGGGTCTAAGATATGATTGTGCAAGGATATGGGAGCTCCCTATTCCTCTGAAAGTCAAATTTTTAGTTTGGCTGGCTATTAGACAAAGTCTGAACACAAAAGATGTATTGGAAAAAAAGGGAATATATTTAGACAAAATCTGTTTTTTATGCTCTAAGGTGACTGAAAACCATAATCATATTTTTCTTAATTGTGAGTTTGTTCAATCTATCTGGAAATTAATTCAATGCAATCACTTTGTCCTGTCCGCTGCCACTTTGAGTCCCATCTCCCATCCATGTAGGTCTGCTCCTACCTTTCGAAACCCTATCCTATCTCTCATTAATTCAATGCAATCTACAAACTGAAGAGGATTTCAAGTTGGGGTCTCTTAAGAATCTGTGGCTGAAATGGAACAGTAATTCTCTTGGGGACTCTAGATTGAAAAGAGATATTACTATCTGCTGTCTTGTTTGGTGTATTTGGCAAGAACGCAATGATAGATTGTTTTCTAACAAGAGGAGGAATTATATTATGATTTTGCACAAAATCATGATTTTCTCAAATTTATGGCTAGGTATGAAAAAGGAATCTGCCAGAACCACAAGACTGCAGGAAAGGAGGAAGAAGAAAATGGCTGATATGAGGCTTGATGGGGGATTCAAGGCTGCTGCTGGAGATGATGACAGAAGCTCTGGGGGGGTTATTCAGCTGGAATGATCCCTGTTGATAAAACTTTTTGGGATAGTTGTTTTTTGATATCAAAACATTTAGTAGTTTCTATGCTGTTTTTATGTGATTTTACAGTTAGTCTTGGGCTATTCTCTAACTTGTGGTTAGAGCTTGGGATATCTGTATCAGTGGTATGTAGTTAATTTTGAACAAAGATACATATCCTAGGTTGGGGATATGTACATATTATGTAACAACCATTTTTGTTATTTAGCTGGCTGGGATATCTTTATGGTATCCCATCCTTTCTCTCTCAAAAAAAATTCATCTCTGTGCCTTACGAGCTGGGCCTGAATTTGCTCGTGCATTACTTTCCTTAAGAAATTAAACAAAATATGTGGAATGTAATTGCTTCAGCTGGTTGGATACTTTGAACAAGAAATTAATGTGAAGTACTGTTAACATTCCGTAGTAGTTGGAATAAAAAAAAACTTACCAAAACGGACTAATCCAATCAGCTAGACAACGGAAAATTTCAAAAATCTCCAGCCCAAATAATATTTACGGAGAGGAAGAGATAAACAAGGACTAATGTAATAATAGTTTTTTTTGACTCATATGATGCGGAGGTTCTTCTTTGTAGCCTAATCGCGTACTTGCAATATGGACTACTAGAAGACTTGGAGATGGAAGTCTAATATGTGAGCATCATGCCAACCAAGAGATTGGAGTGACACAGCAGCCAGTTTTTTTACCATATATACATATATATAATGATATATCGTTCTAACGACTAATTATTGAGCTAATTGTACATTGACCCCTATTGCTATTTGTTGGCCCAAAGCTGCTGGCCCATTTGCTAAAGAGGCCCAGGTCCCACCTCTTTAGTCCCTTGCCCATCACTTTGTCCTGTTCGCTGCCACTTTGAGTCCCATCTCCCATCCCTGTAGGTCTGCTCCTACCTTTCAAAACCCTAGCCTATCTCTCATTGTCGG